CAATAATACAAGTGAACACTTTTTACATACACGTAAAAAGGCGATAATTTTGCTGTTATTAAAAATAGATGTTTTTTCGAATATTAAAACATTTCTTTACATACGGCACTCATATACGACTTGAAAGAGCAACAACAAAGTTTAATTAAATACCAAAGTAGAAATCACCTTTATTAAATACTATTAAAAAGGTCTCAGCTAATATTACAGTAAAAATTTTAAATTACAGGAAGGTTTACAATAAATTCATTTAATATGAAATTTTTCACAAAAAACAACCAGTAATTTTTGTATTTTCCTTTTGAACCAAATCTGAAATATTTACAATCCCAATTATGTCTTCAATAAATTTCATTCAAAGAAGACATGTCTGAGGTAGATGTTTTCAATATAATTAATAAGAAATACTCAATCATTTCATAGAAATTTTTTATATCATTCATAAGTAAAACAAAATCTGCGAAAATACTTAAAGTTACAAATGATATTTAAAATTTTTCTTATACAAAGTAAAAACTTTAATGGCACTTAATTTTAAAAAAGTAATTTCTTTTGCACACCACTTCCTAAATGAATATTTCATAAATTAAAAAATCTAATAAAATTATGTTAAAAATTTAAAATTGTGCACGCTTCCATATAAGCATATGATCTGGGCAAATGATAATTGCAAATAATATTTTTTATTTTTTTGAAAATTTTCCTCCTACAATATTTTTCACCAGCAATACTATACTCGTGTGCATAAATTGAAATAATACATAATAACTTTTAAAATTTTTATATTGCGAAATTAACCCTACCAATCCTATAAAAATTAAATGAATATTGGCAGTAACACAATTGATTGTCAATCAATTTTATAATAAAAATTTTTTCTTCCTCATTTACGATGGCATCAAATTATCACGGATTTAACCCTTTTTAATTTCATAAATTATAGTTTGAGGTTACAGATGACTTAATCTAATAAATAAAATTTTTCAAATTGAATTATTTAATGTGCACCTATAACAATTTTAATTATCAGATTTCATATAAAATCCGATTAGCTATTAATCTTTACATGATGTGGTTACTTAAAAATAATTGAATTTTGTATTACTTAAGTGTTATATCCGCTAGCAATATGAGAAATTTGGAAAAAAATTTTCTTTTCTGATTTCCTTATAATATAAAAGGTAAAAGATAATAATTGCTATAAATTGACTAAGTATTCAGATATTTAAAAAATTTCCCATTATATTGTACTTAAAATTTGAGTTTTCTTTTTGGAAAAGTTATAAAATAAGCTATACTCGTAGATTTTCGTGCGCATTTTTTATATTAATTAAATTATATTGAATAATTTTTCCAAAAAATTATGAAAAAAAATGTGTCTTTCAGTCTGCCTGTGCATCTGTTCATTTGTATGCCTGCTTACAAAGCTTCAATTCTGTCTCAGATAGAACCATATATTTTTCCATATAGGAAAACATTCTGTTCCATATAAAACAGCAAATCGATCTCAGTGAAGACATTTCTTTAGAATAATATTTTTGTTAAAGCTGTGAAAACATAACATTTTCAATGTCTTGAAAATATTCGAGTTTTTCAAAAGTTACTATGTCCAAACTAAAGGCCAATTGAAAATTCTGATGAGGTAATAAATAAAATTAATTAAAGATTTATTTCTTGTACCACATAAGATTATAAGTCCATATAATTTTGTATAGTTTTAGGAGAAACATAATTTTGAAAAATAATTTTGGATTTTGCAGAAATTTGATGGAACTTATCAAAGAAATAATTTTTTATAGTTTCATATAGAAGAAATGCTTTTAGACAGACTTGATTTTGATTGAATTTTCAATTAAAGTGATTTCGAAAAACTCAGCCCCTTTAAGTATTTCCGAAAAATTAATAAAGTTTAAAAAAGTATTAAAAAATATTATTTAATTTCGTTGGCTTGTGAAGTGAATAAATTTATGAATTTAAATGTTTTTCTTACTTTGTTGACAAATTTTCCCACGAAAGTTTACGTTGATCAAAAAAATTTGTATAGCGTGCTTTATCCCGATTGAAAAAGATATACTCGAGTAAAATGCCGTTATCTTTTTGCACTAATAGTTCTATTAATTATGAACGCACAGAGAAATTGTACATAAATCTTAAAATCACATAGTTTAATCTAACATCATTATACCTTTTTTTTTACTTTTCTCTATTTCAAATTTCTTCCACCCGCATAAAAACTAGTGAAATTGGTAGTGTTTTTTAGTTTTTCTCAAAAATTTCAATTTTAATAATTATGATATCATTAACGCTTGGTGTTATCACGCTGAACACGAATATAAAAGAAACATTTCTCTCATTTTCTTTTAATATTGTAAAGGCTATACAAATTTTAATGTGTTATGGACATTGACCATATGGGAATAAGACAAAAGGTATCTAAAAACAAAAAAAAAATAATAATAGTAATTTTTTGGTGCTTCCGTTATATGATCTTGAATTGCTTAAAAATTGACCTCCAAAAAAAAGCGAGGAGTGTAACAATTAATGAAAAAATAAGTTACCTAAAGAAACGAATCCATTTTAATTTGAGCAGTATTAGATATTTTTATTAATGTACGTGCATGTGTTTGAAATTATAGTGAATTTTCTTTTTGTTCGACATCAAATATTTGAAAGAAAGTATGTTATAATTAATTCTATATGGGAGCTTTTGAAAGAGTTCCAAAATGGCATATTATAAAATAATCAATCATATTGTCAAATTCCCATTAATTTATTTGTCACAATAATCTACTCAAAATCTGACTTTTAACTCTTTTTTACTCTACAAAACTTTTTATACATGCAATAAAAGCACAGCAATAAAAGCGTAACAGAAATTTGTGCTACGAATTTCAATTTTTTTAAATTTTAATTGATCCAATTTTTTTTAGGAAATTTTAAAAAAACCATGTAGTGGAAAAAAAAATAAATATTTTGGTTCAGTTTTAAGAAGTCTTATATAACACTTATAACTCTCTCTAGTACAAGTTCGGTTTTATAATATTATTTTGAAAACTTATTCTTATGTACATATGTATATAGATGTATTTCTGTATTAAATTAAGTGACATTTAATTATTCTTGAATTTAAACGTTTATTCACCGGTACTTATAACTTTTTAGAAGCCAATAACAAAATAAATTTTATTGTGAAAATTCTATACTTCAAGTCCTCTAAAAATTTTTCGTCAAACGTGATTTATTCATATTTATGAGATGTCAAACGTTTATAGAGTATATATAGGTAATTTTTATTTTATTGAGATTTGGATATGACATATAAGAGGTTACAATATTTGTAATGTTCAAGCAAATGTATAAAGAAAATTTTCTCATGCTCAACAGGTTTATCGTAATATGAAGCAAAAAACGTAATATTTATTAGAAAATAATAAAAAATTAAATTTTTGATGAAATATTTCCATATAATATATTTGCACATTTGTAAATATGAAATGGCTATTCTCTCTCCTGGATCTATATATACATTGGTTGTCGTGAGCTCTAAAACACATACCTTCTTTCTGGTTAATTGCACTAAGAAAAATACAAAATTTTTAATTTAAATAAACAGGAAAATCAATTATATTGAACAATCAGTGCAATAATCCGAACAGTTACAGTTGAACAAAAGGAGCAAAGAAGAGACAACATTTGTAACTTTAATAGAAAAAATGTTCTACCACACTGATAACATCAAAATATTTTACCTATCAAATTTAAAATATTAAATTGGCGAAAAAAAACTGAAATTTAGATTTTTTATTGAGCAGCTCGTAAATGTGTTTCACTTTTACTTCACTGCATGCATGTTCTGACACAAATTTTCGATTCTTTGACAGGTCTCAGTACACGGAGTGAAAATTTTTTTTTATATTTTTATATACTAGTACCAAAAAAGGGGTTCATTTAAACGGGTTGTTCTATTAAAGGGGGTAAATTGATATTTTAATTGTAATAGATATTTGTTTCACTTTTTGTTCAATAAAAGGTAAAAATCAATTAAGCATGGTGCTATTAATCATTGAGAACTGTACCTAAGTATTTAATATGAAATATTAACATAAGCCTTTCTCAGTTTTCTTAAATCTTATATACATAAATCCAGTTCAATCAGAAAAAACAATTATCCCATATTAACATACATACCAGTCTAGAAATCATTTTTAACAAGAATTCTAAAAAAAAGACATTCTTTTATTCATTTATATTATTTACTAACTATACACATGTATGTATGTAAATATAATATTATACCGAAACGCACATGACACAAAAACAAAATACAATATCCTATCAAACTAAATAACATAACATAACATACATATACACATAATGTAACCGATCTGGTTTACATATAATAAAAATAATCTTATATTGACAAACAGATCAAGCAACCAAAAATAGCCTTTTTGGAAAGCTCGATTCTTTAAAGAAAAATATTATACAGAAAAACTAAGCAAACCAACTTTTCCTTCTATCTAACAAAAACACAGTAATTGCCATATTGCATATGAACTCATCTTTATAGTTATTTTTACCACATATTTACATAAGTACATATATGTATATTTATATATCTTATCATATTCTACAGGTGTTACTTACAATTTATAAGAGAATGTGCCCATAAATATGTTTGATTGCATTATGTATGTACATATGTATGTAAATTATGTAGATATAGATATAAAATCTTTGTTACATATTTACTTGTTGTAATATCGCATCATCATCAACAACTATCATCATTATCAAAGACAACACACACAACACAACAGACAACACAATAAAAGAGAATATCAAAAACGACAAAAAAAATGTATAGTAAAAATAATAAAAATATGTAAAAGAAAAATAAAATGCGAATTGGATGGGGTAAAATTACTTTGGGGCCAACTATAAACTCACAATACCAATAATATTACAAGTCAGTTGCTTGTAGTTTACCGTAACGGATGGTTAAAATTATCGTAAAGAAAAAAATAATATTTTGAAAGAAAACAGAATAAAAACAACAACAAAAATAATTTAAACAGGTTCAAATTTTTGCACATCTTCGAAAGTGTGTGTTGTTTTTCCAATTTGCTCTTCATTTTTCATTTTTGATTTTTATGTTATTTATTTGCGTTTTCGTTTTACACAAAAAAACCGCAGTTCAAAATCGTAGTGTACATTTCATAGAAAATATTTATTAGAAAAAATTTGAAGAACTTTTATTAAATTTATTTTTTAAATTTAAGTTTTTCAAATAGAAGAAAAATATTAAGAATAAAATTTAAAACATTAATTAACATTTTACACCAATTATAATTAAAAATTATAAAGGATTTTTGTTGAAAATTAGAAGGTGAGTTGAGATGAAAAATATTTTTTAAAAAAAAAAACAAAATAAAAGAAAAATTTCTCATTTATTGCCATTCAATTGCCGTTGAATAATTTATGCAAATTTTAATAATGAATATTATTTTAGTGAAAATTAAAAAACAAACAAAAAAAAAAACAAAATTAATCCTTATAAATTCATAAAACTACAAAATTTCCTGTAAATAGTGCGCATTTACAATGTAATCCGAATTTGAATTTCATTTAAATTTGAAAATTATTGTAAATGAAAAACTGCATTTTCAGGTTCAATACCTTTTGAAAGGAAAATAAAGTAAAAAATAAGAGAATACTTAATTGGAAACTATTTATGGTGATCTGGTTATTTGAGAGAAATATAAGAAAAAAGCAACTAACTTTTCAGGTTTAATTTTATAAACCTGCACGCAATGTGAAAGAATTGTGAAAAATGTGTAAAAGAAAATTTTTATTATTTTTGATTTAAAAAGAAAATTCCTTATATTTCTTTTCATTTAAAACAAGAATTTTTCATTGATATCTACATGCAATATCAGAATAATTTAAACGATGTATTGAGAATTACACTAGAGCCTTGACATTAGAGAATTCAAATCAAGATTAAAAATAATTATGTTTTCTTAATTTATAAATATTTGTGCTATTAATTGTCTTTTAACGAGAATTTAATAGATTCTTAAATAGTTAGGTAAAGTTTTAAATTGAACTGCAAAATTTTTTACTTAAATCATAGTTACTTGTAGAAGGGAGGAACACAATTTTTAAATCTACACTATTATTTTTCTAATTACAAATATTTAAATGCATTTAATCTGTTCTTCCTCTTTAGCTAAGAATATGTACTATGTGGCAATGATATTTTTGAAATATTAATTACGGGTGTTCAACTTGGGAGCAATTTTTTTCTTTAAATTTAATAGTTTCTGTAATCTTTTAAGCAAGAACATAATTAAATAAAATTATTTTATCGGATGAATTTAATGAACTTGTAGCAGAAATTAGTTACATTTGTAGCGAACCAAATTTACAGGATTTATAGTTAAAACTTCTGGATTTTATCAAGGGAGCCACAAAAATTGTAGATTTTTAAACTAACATGCTTAATATAGCACTAAATATACATACTTATATACAAAATTTCATTTCAAGTTCATTTTGACACATACGTTCTAAAATCTATGTTTTCTCTTCGAAAGTTTTGTGAAGGGATTATATAGTAGTCCGAAAGGCCCAATATGTATGCACATAAAAATGTATGCACGTATGTATAATTGCAACTCATCATTTATTTGCTTTTATAATAAAGAAAATATAATCCTTAATAATTAAACAACACGTTGGTCAACTGACATATACAAAAATATCTGCACTGACATATCACAAAAGTAGTGCACCTTGTTGGATACATGTATGTAGCCAAGGTGATTATTGAAGGTCAGCACAATCTCTAAAGTTCAATTATACATTGAGGTGTTTTAAACGTAATTTACTGAAATTAAACTGTTTTCTCTTAGTTTTTTGAGTGAAAATATAAGCAATTAAAAGTTTTAGAGCTTGCATTTCTGTTTTATTTGAATAAGCAAATTTATTAAACTTTCTATTACACATGAAATAATTTTTTTAAAACATTACAAGCCAAAATTTTTACATTTTTTAAATTTTATCTCGCATATTCTATTTACATAATTCCAAGTATAAAGAGTTCAATGTACTTTTATTTTATGTACTTAAAAATGAATAAATATTTATTTTGTTCATCTTTTTTCTTCGAAAAAAATTTTCTGTGGTTTCTTTTTTATAATAAACTTTCTAATTATTTCCAGTTATAACAGTTCTTAGGTAAGAAAGGTATTCTAAAATGAGAAAATAACAAAGATTATCAATTTGGAATGAAAAATATTTGAATTTCAGCATAAGGTACCACCAGTACCCAATAACTTACAAAGTACTTTGAAGCATTGTCAGTAAGAACACTCAACATATAAATATTTTATTATATGTAAGAAATAATTTCATTTTAAAGAATAAATGTTTGTTTTACATCTTACGTCATTAAAACTTCAATTGAAATCGTGCTCTTGAATTTTTTAAGTCAATCATATGATGTAGATTCTCTTTTTTTTTTTTAAATAATATTTAGTTAGTGAGTAAAATTTGACTCAAGATAATCGAGATTTATAATACAAATATTGAATTCTTTTAATAGAGCCATAAATGCTTTCACTTTATTTTAAACAAACAAAAATTGAAGTTGATAAGAATGTGCCTTAAAATTTTTCATCTTAAAATGTTCCTAGTAAAGTCGTTTAACTTTTAAAAAATTTTCATTATTCGAAAACATAAAACTAATCTGGAATTAATCTTAAATGCTTAAACGTAATCGCAATATAGAATTGTACGCAGTGAAACTCAAGTAAATTTTCAAATTTTTCAAGCATAGTCAAGTATTTGAAATTGTTAAACATGATTTTAAGAAAGATTTCTTATTTGAAAATATCATTATTACTCAAAGAAGATAAAACTAAATTTTTTGAGTCAGATTAAACCCTTTATGAAAGAGGTTACAAAATGTGTTGTTGAGTTCTATCATCCGAGGCGAACCAATATTCTGTTGACAAATAAAGCCAATATTAATATTTGACACACTTCTGAAGAATTTCGAATTTATATGAGAGAAAATTACAACATATTCCGGCAAATCAATTTTAGAAAATAAATTTTTTGATAATTGAGATTAAAGCCAATTTAAAACTTCCTTTATTTTTAATATTTAATATTGAAAACAAATATTTTTTTCTAATTTTTTTTAAAATTATATAACAAAGCATAATTTGATTGAAACAAAATACAATACTATTATACAATTCATTATGTTGATTCAAATAAAGCCTATTCAACATATTAAATTTCAATATAATAGTTAAATTATATCAAATCAAAAAATATCAATTTGAAAATGGACAAAAATGGTCAAAATGTTCATTCATTAATGATCGTTCAATAATAAATACAATATAAAATAAAAATGAATTCAACTTATAATTATTTACAAAACTTACCAATTTATTTCCACCTAAACTTTCAAATATCAAAAAGCAAAAATTGTGCGTCTGTCATTAAAATGAAAAAGAGAAAAATTAATTAATTGAAAGCAAGAAAAATCCCGTGTTGTACTGATTATATAAAATATACAGTGTGGGAACACTAAATTCAAAATTTAGTTTTTAACTTGTCAATCCTACATCAATAAAATTATTATAAAATTAATACGCAAATTCATTTCAATATTTTTTTCCTATAGTTTTAAATTGATGCACTCTACGTAAAATTTTCAAATTATAAAATTACATAACTAATGTCTGAGCAATTTTTTTCGATATTTGAAAATTTTATTTGATATTTCGTTTTCGTTTGTATTTCTGTTTTGTTTCGATTTTACGGACCTTTCCACAAACATCTTTTTGTACTAATACATTACAATAATATTTACGTATAGTACTAGCGACTGTTACTAAATGTAACCAAATATTTTATTGAATTTTAAGGCTTTCAAATTTTAATAAGATTAGTGTGTGCTTTCCGAATTTTCAACTTTACTTTCCAATTGTAATAAAATCGAGATTCTATTCAAAATTAAAATTGAGGGTTTTCGTAACATTTGTGAACACTTGTGGACATTATTTTTCACGTTATTCACAATGTAACGCAATATGCAATAAAAATGGCGTTTCAGCTTTCTTTTCATATTATTTTTCATATGGTTAATTTTCTCAAGCGTTCATTAATTTTATTAATTATTTAAAAAAAAAAACCAGTACATATTTCATTTTTTAAATTAATTCACTCTTTGTTTTCTCATGCATCCTTTTCCTTTTTTGTTTTCTATTTTAATTTACAAAAACTTACACTGTAACTCATGCTTATTGCAGAATTATAAGCTAGAGAAAGTGAAAATTTTTAAAAAGTTAAAATAGAACTTTTACATTTTTATACTCCATAAGAATTTTCATTTTCTGACTGGGTCGTTAATTCCAACATTTGATTGTAAAGCTAGAAAATTTATTTATTTATATTAATTTACTTATTAAATGTTCTATTCGCTTAAAATTTGATTTGCTTTAGATATTTATAAAAATCGAGAACTGTAAGGTTTCAAATACAATCCTATTAACTTTGTCGTTAAACCTTTTAACTTAATCATGTTAATATTAAAACTTTGTTATTGTTATTTAGAATCTTACAATAAAAATTTTTTAATTAGCTAACGAAAATGCAAAACTATGTGTAAATAATACTCGTATGAATAAAATTATTAAATAAGCGTGGTGGGTTGGCTATCTTATTTTGAATTTATCAAAAGCAATATTGTTTTGGTATCAAGTCAAATGATTGTCAATGAAAAATTTATTATGAATTTAGCTATGACATACCTATAAAGGCAAAATAATATCCAAAAAAGAAAGTTTATGACATAAAACAAAAACAATACTGTTTTCATAATTAATTACGATTATGGGTTAGCAAATAAAACTGGGTAATAAAGAATTTGGTGTTGATTTAATTGTTTTGCAAAATTAATATTACGTTCAGATTAACACTTATTAAAGTTATACTTCTGCTACTTTATACTACTGTTTACCAAACTCTTCTTACAATATGTACGAAATTTGAAATTTAAATAAAAAAATTTTGGGAATTGGAAATTGAAAGCCTTAATTATTTGAAAATAATAATCTTATTGCAATTTTATGTTTATGAGATTTGATTTACAGATTTGGGAGATTATAGGCTTCTTGGAATATTTAATGAACTATTCAATATCAATGTGGTGTACAAACCGTCTAGACAATTTTATTTTTAAAAAAAATTTTAATAACAGTTTAAAGGTAGTGGTAGTTTTTTGTTACAGAAAAAAAACCATAAAAAATAATTTCTGATCTAGAAAAGATTGAATCTCACAAAGAAATATTTCAGATAATGCACCGG